CCGCCCCCGCCGCAGCCGGATCCGAGTCCTGGAGGCCGTGGAAGCGGGGGGGCTGTGGGAGCTGGGGGGCCCGTGGATTCCGGAGGGGGGGGGAGACCGCAGATGTTCGCAACGATGTTCGCCACCCGTGAGGATGTGGACGCCGCACTTCGCGCCGAGCGCCCGCCCGACAAGATGCCTGACCTTCCGCACTGCATGGCCAGCGACCTCCGCGAGCCGAAGACGTTCAACGAGGCCATGCGGTCTCAACATTCAGAGTTATGGAATGATGCAATCGGTCGAGAGTTTTTCGGTTTGTTGGATGCAGGAACTTTTAGTCCGGTGTAGCAACCAGTAGAGAACGCCATCAATGCTAAGTGGGTCTTTAACTGTAAGGCAGACGAGTACGGATGGCCGACGAAATTCAAGGCAAGACTTGTAGCGCGGGGGGACATGCAGAGGGCTTCGATTGATTTTGGAGAATTGTTTGCACCCACCGTATCAGTGTCTAGTGTGCGCTTGTTGGCAGCATTAGCGTGTGAGCAGAATCTTGACTTGTGCCATTTCGACATTCAGCAGGCTTTTGTGCAGTCTGAGCTTGATGAGGATGTTTTCATGCGCTTACCGCAGGGGCGTGGTAGGTTATCTGGCCTGATCGTGAAGCTCAAGAGTCTGTATGGTTTGAAGCAGGCATCACGACATTGGCATGCGCACCTGACGAGGTGATTGTTACTTTTAGGTTTTTTGCAGTGTCTGGCAGATGCATGTGTTTTTCGATTGATGAAGGACGTGTGATCATGATCATCGTGGTCCACGTGGATGACATTTTTGCCGTAGGGCAAAAGGAGAGGTGTGACAAGTTTGGCAGGGATCTCAACGATATGGTCCCCGTGAAGAACCTTGGAGAGTTGAGGTGGTACTCCGCGTGCTTTTACGAGAGAGACGTTCAGAGAGGGCTGTTGAGGATTTCGCAGCAGAGGTTTACCGAACAGTTGACTGCAGAGTACGGCATTGAGTGGGGAAGGAGCGTGCCCTTGCCTGTGAGCGTGAAGCTCACCGACTATGACGAGAACGAAGCGTGCGCTGATGTCCCTTTTCGCGAGTTGGTAGGATCTCTGATGTGGTTGGCCACTCAAACAAGGCCGGACATCGCGAACGCACTACGAGCAGTAGCGCGGTACTGTGCATCTCCCAAGATGGTGCACTGGAAGGCAGCACTCGGTATTTCAGGGTACGTACGGAGGACGAGTTGGATGGGGATTACATTTGAGAGGGGAGTGGTGACTGGGATGAGCATGCAGGTGTTTGTGGATGCCGACTATGCAAGCAAAGCGACAGACCGTAGATCGGTGTCAGGAGGGCTAGTGGTTTGTGGGGGAGGGTGTATGACTTGGTTTTCGAGGAGGCAGAAGTGCGTTACGCTTTCCACCACGGAAGCAGAGTATGTGGCAATTGCCGATGTCTTGAAGGAAGTGTTGTTCCTGAGGCAGGTGTGGCGTTTTATTTTGCCAGATGCAGGTATGCCGTGCATCCCGGTGTTCGAGGATAATCAGGGAGCGATTCAGATTGCGCACAACTCGATCACGAACTCCAACTCGAAGCACATCAATGTACGGCATCACTTTATCAGGGAGCTGGTAGAGAGAAAGGAGATCGCAATTACTCATGTGCCGACTCAATTTCAGCATGCAGATCTCTTGACGAAGGCTATTAGCAAGGAGTCTTTTGCGTTGCACCGTGACTGTGACGAACTTGCAGCGAAGGAAGTATTTTGGGGTCGATTCGTATCCTGTAGCGGAGAGAGAAACAGAAAGACGAGATTGGACAAGAGAATGAGAGAGTCTGATGAAGGTGGTAACGGTGTTGGAGTTGTGTGGGGATTTTTCTTGGTTGTTTGGAGGAGTTTTGGTTGTGTTGGGATTTTTCTTGTTTGTTGTGGAGAGATGGTAAAAAGGAATTTGGTTTTTGCCGACGCATGACGATGCATACGAGCAGGGGGACTATTAGATACATTGGGGGTACTCGTAGCATAGTATGACGGGTATGATCTTCAGTACGTGCGTACGGAATTTGCAGTGATGAGATACGGAGGAATCATAACTTTCTGGGTATTTTCCTTGGAAGTGGGAAGAGTTTGATGGAGGTTCAGAGAGATCCGTTTGGTAATTTGAGCGTGATGAGCGTGACGCGTGCTTGATGCCTTCACAGATTTACGAGCGCGAGCACGCCCCCGAAGAATACAATACGTTTTCCACCACGTTTTCTATCCATCTACGGCCCGTCATCGCCGAGCTGCTCTACACTCCCAACACACAGAACTGAGCCACCCGAATTATCGATCAACCTCCGGCACCCACTTGCCGCTTTCTCGCTATTTGACTGTCCGGGTCCCGCCGCATGGAGATGTTGGCGCACAACGTTGCCGTAGCGCCTGGCACTCCGGTAGAGGAGGCGTCTGGTTTCGGCTTCCCGCCACAAGTTTTTACCGGCCACGTTTTGTCGGACACGTTTTCAGCACCTAGATATTTTCATGTTTTCGAGTATTGGGTGTCCGGTTGCACGGCATGCCGCGGCGAATTCTCGGCAGGTGGCCCCGGAGGCAGAGTACCTGGAGTGTTTCAGTGGCCTCGTTCCGACGGGCCGTTGAGAGCGCGGTGGTACCTCGCTGGGCGATGATGGCGAATGAGGTGTGGACTTCCTTGCGTGATACAAACGTTTGCATACCGACTCGCGGTATTAGCTGGTGTCTCCTTCCTCTCGTCCAATATGGTACCCCTACCCGTTGCGTAACCCTTACGCCATGACGTCTGCTCGTTTCGTGCGGTCCGCTGCCTCTGGGCGATACTTAATCCAGAATGGTTCACCCTGGGCACTGCGACTTTTATCCTCTAGTCCGCGCCCGAACGGGAACGACCCGCCCCTTTGTTCCGCCCGCTACTCTTTTCTCCTCACGATGAGAGCCGCTTGAGTACGTCCTGGCACATAAAGGCACGCTACCCTGGACAACAACGCAAGCCTTGAATTGCACATAAGATCGACGTGCTGTTTGTTCTATCAGACTCGGCAAACCGCATGGGCTGCAAAAAAAACGTCAACGACTCCGATATCCTCAACTGGCGCTGCCACCTCGACTCGCAAGGTAAATAAGACCTTACCGTCACGCGTCGTGCCCCAAAGTAGAGTCCACGCCGAAGGCCGGCTGTCCTCCGGGTTACTATTGCGGGCCCGTTCTGTACGGCAGGACACCTTTGTCGGAGGTCAACCCCGGCGGCAGCAGAGGCGCGTTTTGCCACTTACTGCCGCCCGCATGACGGCCACCCTGCAAAGGCATCTATCTGCGCGAACCTGCCCCGATAAGTTCACGATTTACGCAATCTTTTCGTGTCAGAAGATATCCCATTCCAGATCAGAGTCGGGGAACACCGAAGACAAGATGACGAAGCTTGGCGTGCGGAAACATGGGTGACCGAGTGGCGTCCGGCCGAGTTCCAGCAGCCCGGAGGGACGTTTGTTCCAAACGCAAGGTATGATAGCGACAAGTATATGTCGTGACGGGTATAAAGCGGGTTCACGCTGCTTCATCGCGATCGTTTCTGCACATACAGCGGGTAGCCAAGCCGTGAAGAGGAAGTTGTGTTTGGAATGCTTTTACGAAGTGTCCCCAAAACTGCAGCTGAAAACAATTCCTAAGAAGGTCCAACGGCAGGGTTCCAGCAAGTTCCGGGGATCTGTGAAAGGTACCCCTTCCCCGGCCAGGCATCGAAGAAAAGGTATATGTTTGAATACAACGGAGCTTTTCGCAGGGTCACCAGCCGCGGGGCAGGAGGCCTCATCCAAGTGATTGACAACGGCATCAAGAACAACGAAAGAGACGTATCCTGTTGGGATCGTCTTGACGTCACCTAAAGAAGCTGTATGTGATCCCGCCTTGAACGAAGATACACACATTTTGTTTTTGGGGTAAGAGGGGTGCACCCCCTCTCGTCGGAAGTGACTTCCTGGTGCAGGTGGCCCTCGCGAGCAAGCGAATATATTCAACGGAGATCGCTTGGACACACGTTGGTTGGTGTGTGCTCTCTCTGCAATGTACCACGCGGCGGTGCGAATGGGTTGTTGGGGGTGTGCAGTCCGCGGCCCTCGGCACACACTATCTGCCCTCGGGTCCATCGCAGACAGTGCGCGTTTTGCCCGCGTGCTCTCTCTTTTCTTCGCCAAGACGAATGGGAATGTTCTAACACTCATTAGTCTAATGTGCGAAAAGTACCATATCACAATGCCACATCGTAAAAAGAAGTCGTCGAGAGGCGGCTTAGATACATGTCCTCTCCCTGAGTCAACTCCCAACTACAACTACATAGTCTACCTCTAACCCACAGTCCGTGCAGTCTGTTCCTAGTGGGCAGCTTGGGGCATCTGCCAAGATGACATCGTCCGAGTCACCCCGTGGCATGGAGGAGCTTCCCAGATATGCCCTGAAAAAAGACACGAATGATGTCGTTGGACAAAGTTCCGTTAAACGAGGCGTTAGTTACGATGTCGTCTCGTGCGTTAGATGATCCACGGTACGCCAAACAATTCCCATCCAACGCTACTGCGGCGTGGGAGTTGTTGATTCGTCTTGCACGCCAAACGATCCAAGCTACGAACTACTTTCTGTCCACTTGTGCTCAAGTACAGCAGTGCCGGACCACCCACAAGAAACCCCTCTTTCGAGAGGGACTCAAACCGTACTTCGTCCCCACTACCGTAGAAAGGCTTTCATATGGTAGGAATTAATGAAGCGCCGGCCGTTATGCTCGATTTATTAAGGCACTTTCCAGGCTCCTATGTAGTAATTGATGTAGCGCCGGCAGCTGTACTCAATTTCCTACGGCCTTTTCCCCAAGTCTGTCGTCAAAAAATTGAGCCTCGGTTTCTGACGAACATGTTTCTTACGAGCTGGCCGGCACCGTATTATCAATTCATACGGTAGGCAATGGGCAATGTCCCGCGTGTAAAAGACCATGAAGACA